ATGACAGGCAAAGATCTAAACAGATCTAAACAGAAACAGTTATAGACTTATTGATTCCTATCCAGTTCCATGGCTATTTCTCTGTCATGTTGGGTGAGCACACCGGGAAATTTCAGTTGTAAATTTAGAGGGAACCTTTTCAAACATCAGCATTCATTCCTAAGAAATAAACCACTTTACAGCTCAAATATAAATTGGTGCAATAAGCACAGCTGTGAAATGAAATGGCTTATTTTGTACTGGATTGGAGAGCGTCATATATCAAATAAATTATAGTGACAAAAATGCACTAAATTTTCCATAGTGGTAATGTTGCTGTCATTTCATGTGGGCAGCCAGTGTACAGAGGAATGGACTGATGAGAGTGAAATAGAATTTGTCCCTTCATTTGAGTGAACTTCAACGCAGTCTAACTTCTTTATACCTCCCTGCCTTTATTCATTTATTCTCTTAATCTTTAGTCTTCTTTATCCCTGCGTCCCCCTGAACCTTGGGGACCGCCTATTTAAGCTGTGGACTCTCCTCCATCAGGAGCCCATCTTCAGTGGGCGAATCCTCACGGACTGTCCCACTCATACGGATGCACTGAAGTGCCTACAAATCAGGGTGACCTAACAAGACCATCTCCTCAGAGAAGATGGACGCGGAAAGGGAGGCAGGGTTTGGGTGAAAGAGATAAAGGCTTAAAAAGGATCAAATGGAGGGGGGCTAAGAGTTGGGAGCAGAGAAGCCAAATTACAGTACAAAGACTTAATTTCATTCACTTTATTTTAACCTTCACTCCCCACAATCTGGTTGCAATTCCCCACAATCCAGTACGACTCTTTTCTCCTTCTTAGCATACAATACTTTGTGTTAAGTGTGTGTTTTTTTTTACCTGACATTGACAAGGGCATGTGTGACTTTACTGGCTGCTTCCTTCCACTGGCCTGTGTTGGTTGATACTCTCAAAACTAGAGAATAACAGAAACAAACAAAATCAGATACAAGTATATCCACGTGTCTGTTCATCACTCAGTTTTACAGCTGCAGCCATTTTCACTGACAATTGAAATAATGACTTATTTTCTCAATTAACTTATCATTTGCTCTAGTAAAGGCCAGAAAAAAACATTTCTATCCGATTCCCTGTAAAACAAAAAAACAGTCTTTTATTCTTTATCTTCCACTGTTATTTGAAATTATTTTTTAAACATGGAAAAATCTACACTCACTCTTCTTTTAGTTTTTGGTCTGAAACAACTCCTGAGAAAAATATTTGGCTCTTTAGTTGCTAAATGTTCTACCATGATCACTAGCTAGTTGCTAACTGCTATCTGGAGCTAAACAGTGCGAGTGAAAACTGAGGGAACCATCTAGTGTGTGATACCTGTTTGCCACAAGCAACCTCTTTCATATCTGACACTGTCATCTGACCAATCGTTATGACAAATCTATGCATTACAGATACATTAAATAGCAGTTTTTATATAAGAATACAATAACAGGTTCAGCTCTTGTCAGGTTAAACACTGCAGTGTTCAGTAACATACCCATACAGTTGAGGTTGTCAAAGACCTGGTGCATCCGAACGATTTCATAGTACAGCTCATCATAGCTGTTGGAGGTGGGCAGGAACGTGTCACCGTACGTTATGAACATGTTGAACAGGTTCACTACCTGGATGACAACATACACATTAAGTCTGAATCTACCAGCACATTCACCCTTTATCAGAAAGTCCCAACAGGAGAAAACCAAACCAAAAACTTGAAGTTGTAAAGGGAAATTCAATTCTAACAGCACCAGTTTTGAGGAGTTCTAAATTCAATTCTAACAGCACCAGTTTTGTAAAGTTGGCTGCTCGGCATTTTTCCACCTCCTGTTGTTTCAGGCACACAGCATCTGCTTCACTTCTTACAGTAAGATCATACACATCTTGGTGAAACTGATTTCTGTTGTAGACTGTACTCTATCTGCATGTTTTGTGAGTGTGTGTGAGTTTCTCACCAGTAAGGCCAGATGAAAAATGTTGTGCTTGGCCAGCAGTGTGGTCTCATTTGACAGCAGGAACTTCAGCAGGTTGATGAGAGCTGTGCAGAAGACAGACATTCTCAGTGTGTTGATAGTCATCTACCAACAGAGAGATACGGTAGCAGTCTGCTTTCCTCCGTGTGCATCTTTATTAAGCTAGATAATGGAAAAACAGGAGGGGGGGAACCTCTCAACACCAAATCAAGTCCTTTCATAGCTTTTATTGAGGAAAACAAAACCTGTAAAAACCAAAATGTGCATGCACAAATGGTTTTAACAAGCTCCAACAGAAGCTGGCAGAACAACAAGCTTAAAGAAGATAAACACATCTATTGCTTTTATTTGGCTCAATTTTTCTCTCCAGTCTTATTTCATGGTATGCTATTATCACCGCCAGCAGGAGAGGCTCAGTGTTATTCAGGGAATTAAGGTGATTGTTGGTCTGATTAGAGGAATCTGTATTCTAATGAGAGATAGTGCGATTGAGCCATTACATGCTGAAGTGTTATCCCATTGTGTGGACCAAGCTGAAAACAGGGCCACCAGGATTGATTGTGCTTTCTTGAGCGACTCATTATCCAATCTCAATGATGCAATACATTTTCAAAACAACAGGCCCAAAAACTTCACTAGGGAAACTGGGTTTGTTTGGCAAAAGCAGTGAGCGGTTTGTTGTAGATGACAGCTAATTCTGATGAAAATGAAACATCATCTTTACCTGACCAGAGTTCTCTCCAGGTGTAGTGTAATCTGATTCTGCACTTCTTCTGATAGCACAGGAGTTTGTGAATGATCTGCACACAGCGCCTGCACAGGGAAGGAACACATAAAACCCTGGTGAGGGAGCTGGATGGTGGAGGAGATTATTATAATGCGCATGTAATGTGCTTGTGTCCTCACAGGTATAAATCCATGGGGAAGTCTTTCATCATATGAGTGACAATAAACTCCACCATCAGATCTACAACACAGGGGCAAGGAAGAGAAGAAAAAGAAATTGCATAAATCTTTAACCTCAAATTTTATAATGGCCACAATTATGCATGCGTCATGAGTAGACAGAGAAATAGAAAAATCCATCTTATTTTGCTCCAAGTAGTAAAAGTTAGTGTGTGAATGTAAAACAACAGCAGACAGCTTTGAGCCAGACTCTAAGACAAAACTTTGCCAGCAAACGTGGTGGGAAAAAGTATTTAAAACCACAAAGTAGACCAAAATATCCAGCAAATAAATATGGTATGTAAAATTTATCAATGACAAGCGCACAAAAAAAGTATATGAATACTTTGAGAGTCATTATAATTTGTCAAAAAAGGAAAGCTGGCAGCCCAGTCTGGCATAAAGACAGAAAATCTTCACAATACATATATAAAACTAAGTAGTTTACATTTTGTCCTCTTAAAATTAAAAACATAAGCAAAACAGGAAGATAAAACCACAGCAGTGACTAAACTGGTGAATTTTTCAGTCTTTAGCAACATCTGGTTTGTAGCTGTTGACATGGAAATGACATAGATCGGACTTTATAGCTAATAAGTCAGCTTTCAAAAATGTTGCTGCTGGTTGCTAATGTTCTTTACTGCAAATGTTCCTCGTACCTAGAACGGCGCACACCAGTGGCCGTGAAGGGATATTCTTGTCCACTGCTTTTTTTCTGTGCCTCATGGGCTGAAAAACATACAGGAAAGTGAGCTTGAGTGTTCGTCATTGACCCTGTGAACTGTATTTTGACAAGAGATGTGCAACACAAGGTCCACTTAGTGGGAATTCATCAGAGCTTTCAGCCACATCTTGACGCCTCCATCAGTTGATTTTCCTAAGTTGTCATGGAGATGGTTAAGCTGTTATAGTGTGACCTCATAACAGAGTTCTGTTTTGTTTTTTTTGTTCTAAAGTGCTGCATGATGTGCAGCTCCTTATTTCCACTTATACAGTATTGCTGCCCTCACAGAAAAATCCAGTTCTGCTATTTTGCAATTTTGTATCTGAAAGCTTTAGACATGTACATGAAAGTGGACCTTGTGTTAAGGACATTTAAGAATGAATGCATGTGTGGATACATTCATAACTGTACACAAGAGATAGGCTAGTGTATCAGCACGCTACCAGTGCTGAATGAGATCAGCTTTAAAAGGGCAGTAATTACAGAGCCATAACATTTTCATCAACATTATCTGACTAACTGTGCAATTCTGCAAATATGTTTGTAGATAAAGAAAAGCCAGCATATACCTGCAAATGCTTCTACCAAGACTGACAAATAAGTCGAAATAATGTTGACATAAGCTGACAGGTAGCTGTCACGATGTCCCCAGTGCAGTAAATCCACATCAACTTGTTCTGTCATTCCCTTACTTACTTTAACTTATAACTCACCATTTTGTGGAGGTTGACTCTAAAGTTTATATTGTCATCATGAAGAAAGGCATCAGCATACTGATCCTATCATGCACAGAGAAAGATTGAGAACAAAGGCAAGGTCAGAGGAAGTCAGTGTTTGAGAACATGGATGGATGGTAAAAAGTTGCAGCCTTGTAGCTGCTCCTACCTCGGCTATGCAGGTAAGGATGATTAGGCACAGTCTGGCACTGTTAAGTCGATGCTCATCTGTAAATGCACAAATAGAAAAACTGTTATCAGATGGAAAGTGTGAATGTTGTCATGTATGATCACTGTAGACAGATAAAAGACAACATTTGTCACTGGTGCCTCGAACAACTATTTAGGAGCTCTTCAGGATGGAGATGGAGAACTGACCATAATAAAACTAAGCATTGCAGGAGGCAGCGTGACAGAGAGGCATGAAGGTTTACCTTTAGTGTCCTGCATTACAATGGAGGCATACTTGAGGAAAGTGATGAGAAGGTTGCTCGTTTGCAGGTTGGGATCCAAAGGCAGTTCTGGGTTGCTCATCACTACACAGAAGATGCACAAATAAAACTTCAATCAAACACAATCACCACAGTTAAAATATGTGCCAAATGATTTTTCTGATTATGGAAAAAGAAAACATACATACATGAACTAAACAGACCACTTATTTATGATGAAACAGGCTTTACTTCACACAAGTCTGCAGTCAGTTATTCCATAAATAAGGACATTTCAAAAGTCTAAAAGCAAGTATGAGAGGATACTGCCCCATGGGCAGACAGGGTGCTCATTCAAGCAAAGAACTGAATTATAAAAAAAAAGTAAATGTCTTCATCCCATTACTGTAGCTTGCTGTGCTGTCCAAACACATCCATCCACTTCAAAATTTCTGCTTGCTGCAACATAAAGCTTGTTTCACGGGTAAACGTCTGTCATTTGTGTCCTTCTTTGGCAGATCAGTGTAGGCCCAACGGAAAAGAGGATTTCACAATGTCAAGAAAGTATCCTCATATGCACCATATGATGATACTCGATATCTGTTCCAGACACTCAAACTGTCTAATCTGAGTAGAAGGTCCCCTTAGTACTGAAGCTCCCATGAAGCTTACATGGCAAGCACACCTGCATGTGAAACTTTCATCTGCCTTTGAAGCTGGAAGTTAATATTTCACAAAGGAAAGGCTCTTAAGTTTGACGCCATGGGGGAAAGCTAGCCAGGGATAGAAGCACACACCTTATAACAGTTACAACATGTGTGCATGCTAAATGGCCTGCTTTTGAATGTGCTAGCAACAACATATGCCTACCACAAAACCTGAAGCGACAGCCATGCACTCCAATTTAAAAATTGTGTAATAATCGGATTATTAAACTGTAATAAACCCACATCTGGCCAACTATTTGATGTGCATCAGCAACTCACTTCTCTTAGATGAACTTAAAAACCTAGTGAATATTTGAAAAGGCTTTGGAACAAGTGGCATGCTTTTGTACGTGCATGTGTCTGCTCAAGAGTCACCTTGTTTGGGAAGAAGGTCATCAAAATGCATATAAAAGCTTCAACTGGGGCAAAAAACACAAACCCTTGGTACAAAGTTCCACTGTCCACCCCTTCAGGTGGGGGGCATCAATGTTTTCAAGTTTTATTTTGTTTAAAGGTCAGAAATGGTATAAAGCATTCGTAAACACACTGAACTGATGAGACGGGGTTAATGCTGTTGTCCCTACTAGACTGTGGTGCCATTCATTATAGCTGAATACTGAGGCCAGTGTTTGAGGCTATAAGATGCCATTTCTATAATAATTCAATAATTCTAGCTTTTCTTGAATTCTAGGTGACAGTTTAGACACTGCTGACTAAATAAAAAGGCAAAAGCAGTAAGACTGACTTTCTAACCAATATCAACAAAGTATCTATAAAGAATTACAGCTAAACATATTATTTTCAATAAACCTATTCATCCACTCAGACAGGTCAGACCTTCCCAAATTGTTCAGTGGTCACTGCTTTCTAGCTTCATATCAGCCCCTCCTGTGGTTCCATGCACCGACATGAAGGAAGACATCCCTTTAGAAATATAATGTCACATGTATGTTGTGTGTGTCTACGTCTGTATAGCTCACTGTCTAGGGATGGTGGTGTTGTGCCAAGTGGTGTTGTAGGTGTTGTAGGAGTAGGGGTGGCAGGCGTGGCAGCAATATCGATCTCCGGGTGGCTCTGTTGAAAGACCAAAAAACTCAAGTAAAATATCATTAATAGTGAACGACTGTCCCAAGTGTAATTTACTGGAAAAATGCAGAATGGGCAGCAGATACAAATGAGAAGTGAGAGAAAGAAATAGGATGCGAGCGCAGAGTGGAAGAGGAGTTATTACATTTGCAAATCATTTCCACAAAATAGAACATTAATCATCACTGCTCATTTATCTTAAGCTGAGTAACCGACTACAGCCTTGTAAAAAGCAGCACTGTGGCTGAGCGGCTTCAAAGCTGGAGCCATTCCTGACATAAAGTGCTGCAGCTGCAGTCCTAACAGCATTTGACCCATCCTCACTGCTCAGTTCATTAGCTAGGATGACTCAGACACAGTGTGAATGCCCCTGTAGGGATCAATAAAGTAAAACATGGGACTGAATGAGGGCAAAGATTTCGCATGTAGTGCACCTTTGACGAAATACTTAACAGTGAAAAGTCATGTGCTGACTCTTCTGCTGATATTCAACATCTACAGGTAAATAATGCATTAAACAGTCAGCGCTCCAACCAGCTGAATAATGACAAGAACAGCCAATGTCTGTCTCCCCCTCTATTCTAACCACTGTGGTCAGTTGGCCACCATTCTTACATGTCAAATCACATCACAGATGCCTCATTAGGCAGAAAAGGAAACTAGCTTCAACTGTGCCTGTAACGTTTTGAAAACATCTAAACAGGAGTGGAAAGAGTAATGTATCTTGCCTGTGCTAATACAGTGATGAAGTTGCGGTTCAGGTGCACAGCCTCATAGAGTGCCAGTAGAATCGCCTCATTTGTCCTTGAGAATAAAGAGGAGTTAGTGGTCTGAAAGGGCTTACCCACTTAGGAGGTAAAACCTCCAAATCTTCTCAAAACAACAGACTGGGAAAATAAAAAGCAATTCAGGTTTTGATCCAGTGAAGCTCAAGGAATAAGTCAAAGTGCAGTCTCATGTATTAACAACATCTTCATGCATCAACAGGTCACTTCTTGAATTTTCTGTCATTAACTACTGCACAATGTGTGTCCCTACTAATACATCACATGCCATATTTAAAAATTGATAAGAGATTAAATTAGATATACAAATCAATAGTACCCCTTATTTATGGATACAAATAAGAGGCATTTTTAATATTGTCAACCACGTTTTCCCCAGTCATTTACTGTAAAATGTAAAGAACAAGACCAGGGCAGAAAACAATATGCAAATCTAGAGTGAAAACATTAGGAGAGTTTGAACTGTTACTCAAGAAACTTTCATATTTTCTCTTTTTGCCACGATGATAATCAACATGTTTAAAGTTGTGCCTGAGATTCTGACAGATAAAACACAATTCTGCTAATACTGTATGTAATGTGCTGTATACACACACACACACACACACACACACAACTACCTGTGCTGAGCTCTACTCAGCGATACCATAGTGTTTGGGTACAGCTTGGTTCTTTACACTACTACAGCACAGATGTTTGAACTTTGACTTCCAGTTGGAGCTTTTTGCCATGGCAAAACAGAGAACAGCAGCAGCAACAAAACACTCTCATTCAAAAGTGTAACAAACAAATAAGGGCAAGTGATGGCTGAGAACCTAAATAACTTTACACTTACTGAACAGAGAGTTTCTCATCAGCATCTGCAATAAACATGCTGCCAACCTGTGGGACAGAAGAAGGATCAACTCCAAATACATCTAAACAAAAGAAACAGCGATCAACTGAAGTCATTCCATGGCAAAAAAAGATCCTACCATACTAGTGAGGGTCGAGAAGAAGCCACCCTGGTTCTCCTCCTCTTTGTCTTTGTACTGCCTAAAAGGGAAAAGAAAGGAGGAGAAGACGGGATGGACACAAAGAAGCAAGCAGCAAAAGGGTGAAGAGAATGACCACACAGGCAGGAGAAGCATAGAGAGATGTTTTCACATAAACCCAGCACTTGTAAGCCAACATCTCCATCTACTCCCTGCAATTTGCTGTCTACAGGGCATTGTTTATACACAAAAACAATGAACTGTGTGGGGCTGTCATCCATCACTTTCATGTGTCTGTCTATGCACACAGACAGACAGCAGCTCCTTCACAAACAGCATCTTAATTTCCAAACCTTGCCTCATCCAAAAAACATCACAGGCTGCCAAAGACAACTGTCAGATATAAATAACTAAAAGTATAAAAGGCCTGTTTTTTCACTAGAATAGAAATAGAAAATTTGCGGGAGACATCAAACTAAACCGATGACGCCAGCGGCCTCGGCACACCAAGCTGTGAATCATTAAAAACACATTTAGACCTTACCTGTTATATTCTGTCAAAGCTTGGTGGACAACCATCCCCATTCCCTGGGAAAGAAAATATCCAGTGTTTCAATCAAATCTTTGACAGCCTGCCTGATGTGGAGGCCAATGCCTACACCAGACTGGCTCTTTATTATTCTGCAGGTAAGAAAGCTGGGTAAGTAATGACATACTTACATCTAGGGTTGGCTCGTCGTCCACAATGGAGAGCTTCACAATATATGGGTTCACAGACTAGCAAACAGAAATCAGCAAAAATAGGAGCTGTTAAATATTTGACAGAAATACTGAAGTTGATCCTTCACTGAACTTTAGCCTATGCATCAGCTCAGTGGGCTCATCTCACATACAAGGTTCAGTAACGCGACAGTGTTTTTCATACAGGAAATAGAAAGTGGAATCTTACAGTACATTATACATTTTACTGAAAAAAAAAGCAATGCAAGCTGTTTGTATTGTGGCCCACTTTGCTTTTGTACAGTGAAAGGGTGCACCCAAAAACTCACTTCTCACCCCCTGCCCTGATTGCTTCTCATCATTAGTTCAGCTTTGATTGACACAGCCCAAGTCAAAGTTCTTATGTACAGTATATCCAGTTCAGAAACATCCATATCCAGCTGATGTAGCTGTCCTGCTGATGTTAACATGGGTGAACACTTTTCTCCCCTCAGATTAGACTGATTTTACTCATCTGAGGTTTGCAAACAGGCCACTTCATTTCTCACTCTTGTATTGTTTACTCCTGTTTCCCCTGGGTACAGTTCAATGAGACTATATGCACACACCTCATACTTCCTGTAGTTGACCAGGAGGGCCAGGAGGACCACAGCATCATAACCATGCTGCCCTCTACTGGACACATCTGACAGAATCTGTAGAGGGCAGGTGATCAAATTGAGAGTAAAGACTGTTTAAAAAAACATAACGAATAAAAACTCCAGAATTACAACAGAAATAGTAAAATCCTCTTATCACTTACTTGTAAAATGGCTTCAAATATGCTGTTGATCATGACATATTCCAGTATGGTGTTCTGACTGATATTATCTGTTACCTGTAAACACACATTTCAGTGTGTACAATAAACAGTCCCATCTAATGTATTATACATTATGGTGCTGTTTTGACATTCTGCCTCACCGTAACCAGACACAGCAGCAGTTTGAGACACAAACTCTTAAGACTCTCTGAGCCATCTCCACAAAGAAGACTGTCCAGTCTCTCCATCAGATCCTACAGAAGACATAAAAATAAGAAATTATGGACACTAATCCATGTCAAATTCCCTCTGTGCCTTCATTTTACATTTATTTCACTCATTTCTTCCTCACCCACCTTCATCCTTTGCTCAGCCTTGTCAAACCCCATAAGCACATTGATGATATCAAAGCCAGATGCTGATTTGTTCTTCTGATGGACCCCTCTGAAAAGGGCACACAGAGTCTGGGAACAGAAGCAGAAGAGCACAGCATTTAAGCACAGAAAGACTAAATTCCAGTCACAGACGGGCCTAAATAGTTTGACTACAGTTACAACTGGATTAGCACACTTAAGATGCTTCTGATGAGACTGTAACATTTGTGAAATGTAACCTGCAGTCAAAAATCATGGCAGAAGCTCCTGAGCTATAGTTACCTGTAGGGCATTGACCACTTTGATCTGGTGCTCCTCCCCCAGAGCCTGAATACAGTGGTGGAACAGAGAGTTGATGTTGTCCTGGATTCGCTGAACCTCCTCCCCATCTACACTCTCCAACTTGGACTCCAAGTACTCTAGGTTCACCTTAAAAAGAAGCGGAAGGATAATCGTAAAAAATAACTAAGTGAAAAAACGTGATTTTTTGAATGCAGGAATAGATGGTGGCCATGCATAGGAGTGGATAATGGTGAGAGGACCAAAGTTACTGGGATATCACCAGTTGACAGTTTCACAGTACCTTCCGGTAGTGAAGCTGAGCAGCAGCACAGTTTATGCAAATCATACCAACTGATCATTTTCACAGACCTATGCTGCAGACTAATCTGTGCAGCACTTCATCTGATTTGTACAAATGAGTACTTCCCCGTTTCTCAGCATGTCCTATCTATAGCTACACTTACTGTATATAGTGATGAGGGTGAAAAGGTGTTCATGTCATCTATAAATGTAATATTTAACAGGTTCAACAACACGCATTTTCTATACATGGACTGGGTTCTTAACAGGTTCAACAACGCGCATTTTCTATACATGGACTGGGTTCTCCCATTAATATTAACAGATTTGTGCACATTCTATATACATGTGAATATTATCTCTCATTTAAGGCAAATACAACTGTTTGCCAGCAATTCTTAAAAACTAGGCCACTGATACTTTTCATACGTCTCATTAAGGCTTCCATCACTGCAAGTTCGTACACCCACACAGTCATATTGTTGTTTTCCTGTTTTACATAACATTTCCACTCGAGTATTCATCTCTTTACTGTACCTTCATAAGAAAGAGCTCATCCCAGAAGCGAGGGTTGTTTTTGGCCGGGTCTTCTTTCTATAAAGCGCAAAAGGCATCATGAAACATCACTTAAACATGAATTTGTTTGTCTAAACTTTCGGCACTGACATTGTTCCATTATGATACTCACTGAAAAAATCTCATCATACATCAGCACCACCTTCTCTTTCAAGGGTTTTTTAGAGGATGAAGTCCTCCTCAGCAGCCCTGCCTTCTTCTCCATCTGAGACATAACTAAGTCTGAGGACAAAGACACGTCAGTGTGATAGGTATGTATGTAATGTTTGTCCAATACATCCCACAGATGCTCAATTGGATTGCGATCTGGGGAATTTGGAGGCCAAGGCAACACCATGAACTTGCTGTTGTGCTCTTCAAACCATTCCTAAACCATTTTTGCAGTGTGGCAGGGAGCTTTTTCCTTCTGAAAGAGGCCTCTGCTATTAGAGAATATCACTGCCATGAGGGTGTGTTTTTGATCTATAACAGTGGTTACAATCTTTCCCCCACTTTTTCCCCAGGTAAACAATGCACCTGGCTGCACCTGGCCATCCACGTAATGGAAAAGAAAAAGTGATTCATCACCTGAGGCCACCTTCTTCCATTGCTCCATGGTCCTGTTCTGATGCTCATGAGCTCAGTGTAGGTGCTTTCAGTAATGAAGAGGGGGCACTGACTGATCTGAGGTTACACAGCAAGCTGCAATGTACTGTGTGTTCTGACATCTGTCTATCATAGGCAACATTATGTCTTTCAACAGTTTGTGCTTCAGTAGCTCTTGATCAGATCAGATGGGCTAGCCTTCACTCCCCATGCTCATCAGTAAGCCTTTGGCACTCATGACCCTATCTGTTCACTGACTTGCCTTCCTTGGAACACTTTAGGTAGGTACTGATCACTGCAGACCAGGAACACTTCACAAAACCTGCTGTTATGAAGATGCTCTGAACCAGTCATCATGCCATTACAATTTGTCAAAGGCCCTCACATCCTTACACTTTCCCATTTTTCCTGCTAACACATCAACTTCAAGAGTGTTCACTTGATGCTGAATATACCCCAACTCTTGACAGGTGACCTTGTAAGGAAATAATCAAAGTCACTTCACCTGCCCGTGATTTTAATGTTGTTGTTGATCACTATGTGTTGAATAGTCTCAAAGTACAACTTTGTGTTTATCTTTATGAAGAAATGACAGACTGTACAACAACATGACTCATTAATGCGTTTCTAGTAAACAACAATAAAGGTCTGTGGCACCGATAAATGAGAGACAAGGCTCTGGCGACATACTTCATAACTAAACTGGCCAAGATACCTGCCACCTACTATTAACACAATGTTAACAGTCGGCTGGCCATATAAAAGATTTTAACCAGTGTCATATTTAACAAATTAACGTAAACGTTTAGGAAGGTTAGTCGATTAACCACTTATAAGTAACGTTTGAATAATTTACGTATCGCGTTAGCAAAGTAGCCAAATAGATATCTGCTTAGCTAACTAGTTATCATTCCTGATATTTGCTAAAATTGATGGCATATGATAAAACCAATAGTGAGGAGGGGCTACTAGCTAGCTGATTACCCAATATTAGCTAGCTCGTTAGCTAGAATTGGCTAACTGAATAATCGTTACCCAGCTGAGTTTAACAGGTTAACGACAAACAGCAATGTCTTCACATTAACAAGGAGGTATTGTAGTCCAGTCGACACACGATGAGCGCCTAAGTTTATTGACAATTAGCGTTGCTACCAAACAAAAATACCAAAAGATTCAGTCTTCACAGCTAAAGCTAACGCTACCTCGGTAATACCTGTCAGACAAGGATGTTAAAATTTAGTGTTAGCTACCTAATGCCTGGTTGCCAGTATTAACAACATTACTGTGCTCCTTTATCAGATAGGTGGTAGTTTAGTTAGGAATGTAGTTTATCTTCTTACCTCAATTAAAGTGTTAAAATCTGTGTCGTAAATGCGGTTCATGAATCCTTGTTGTGACAGCACTAGTCTCTGCTAGCATAGCATACTACTGTGTACAGCCCTCTGTTGGTCTTCTGGGTCTTAGCACCCAGCAAATAATTAACTGGTCCATTATGACGCTCGCTGCATTTATTGCGCTGAATCGCCTTCGTGTCCAGTACTGTAAAATGAATGAGAATAACCGTAGGCTAATAAATAAGATCTCATTTAAAATATGACACCAGCCCCCACAAACACATACATACAAAATAGATCATTAAACTGATAAACAAATCATAAAAATATTTTTTCATTACTTAGGAGGAAAGAACAGAGTAGTGGCTGCTAATGTAGACTGCTACTGTAGTCATTAACAGGTGTTTATACAGAACATTTTAAGACAAAAAACAAGCAAGCCATGCAAGCACATATCTGTTTTTTCAGAGATAACACAGGAAAAATATTGAACCCGTAAACATCATCAAATTTGTCTTTTTCATGCGTTACAATGCTGAAGATAGAAATTTGCAAACAAGTCATAGGAGATACATACAGTATCTACTTTATATTACATTTATATTGTGTGGTATTCATGCAGACGGCAAAGCAAGAATTTCATTGTACAGGGAAACACGTTTCCTCACTGTGCATATGACAATAAACAATTGACTTGACTTGACAGAGCAGAAACAATAATCCTCACATTAAGGTAGGCCTCATCCATTATTCCACTGACAGGCTGAACATTATCAAGTCCATCTGTATTTCATCCATGTTACATACTTTATGTATCTCAGTGAAGATACAGGCCGTAAGTGACTGTATCATCTGTGTCATCAGTGAAAAGTCTTTTGAAAAGCATTTGAAGGAGATTGTTTGGCTGTTATCTAGAATAGCCTGCAGATGTTTGACAGTGGCAGCCCTTAAAGAGCAAAGAGAATGTTTTCAGTACCAATTAATGCTGCCAATTAAAGGCTGATTCCAACAGAGGAGAATTTAGGCTTGAAATAAATTATAGCAATAAACCATCTGTGTGATATCAAGGAGAGAGCACATCTGCTTGTTTAACTGTTGGAATGTACCCCAGTCAAGACGGAATCAGCGGGGCATAACTGGGTGTCGAAAATGTTGTAAAGACATGAATTATGGAGGGACTGCATACACCTGTGGCCACTTGTTACTGATTTGAAACACACAGGAGCAGAAGGTAAATGAGCTGCTCACCTCAGTTAGATGCAAAAGATATAACTACTTTTTCACATTTGTATAAATTTGTGAATGAGAAAGAATCAAACCCATTTCTCCGCACTTACTGCCTGATGGTTTTGACTTCAATTTAAAGCAACTGTTGCAACAATTGCTTCCATGTTTTGACCTTATGAGTTCCTTGGTAAATTAACTTTACCATCAAGACTGCAATATTTCTGGTAAAGACTACATGGAGTACTTCAATTTCCAGGTTAAATGAGACAAGCTCTGCTTTTACTGTGTCATTAGACAGAGAGGGAGATGAGGCAAGAGAGAGGAGGAAAATCAGAGTATAATGAGAAGGGAGTAAAAGAGAAGACTAGCAGTTGTATAGTGTGAAAGAACATTAACTGACACACACGAGAAGGCAGGTAGACAAAGTTAGACATCGGTACACACAAACACACTTTTCTTCAGGTGGAAATTTGGCTAATGAATAGCTTGAAACTTTGTAAAGTCATTGACATTTTATTTTGTGATGAAACAAACAGGTCAGGTTTAAGGGGTGAGAAAAGTACGACGCTAATGTGAAGATATCAAAGTCAGAGCGGCTTGATAAGTATCTTTTTGTCAGTAATTGATTTTTACTAAATGTTGATGCAAAACGAGAACTGGCTTACAACCTTTTGTGCCAGTGCACATACAGTATGATAAACATGGGTGAAAGAAGTGATATGATCTTTTACTTAAATCTAAGTAGCATCAGTTAAAGATACTCAAATTTCAGGCACTGCATTCAAGATGCTACTAAAGCACAGATTTATTAACAGGGAAACTTAAAGCATCAAAAGTAAAAGCACTCAATATGCTAACTGACTGCATTCAATTGTCTGTTTTTACTGTTCTATTATTACTACTGAATTAGGTGTAGTAGGTCAAGGTGGAGCTCAGTTGAGGTGTTTTATATGTGGCTATCAGAACAGAGGACCTTGGAAGGATCCATCCTCAGAATCCTTTGCTCACAACACTGCAAGTGTTGCCAGACCTTTTGCTTTGCAGTTTGTTTTTCCTGTGTTTCTGCACCTTGACACTGGGTGAAGTTGCGGCAGTAACTTCTGCTGTATGAGGATTCATCCTCGCTAAGTTAAAGCCAGCTTCCCCAAACACACATGAAACTCGGGGTGCTGGTTGGGACAATAACTCATATCACACATTCCCTTAATGTTCCTTAATGATGGAGCTTGATGTCCCCTACACTTTGACATAGACAGGACATCTGTTTCTCAGAGAATGGAATGCACTGGATTTATTTGGACTGTCATCTGGACAAAGCATTACGTTCATCAGCTCACCAACAGTACATAAGCCAGTGAGGACCGGTCTATGACCTGGTCCTGCTGCTTGTCTATTCTGCCTGTCATTTATCATTCTAGCTTTCTGTCCCAGGACTGATGTAGATCTGGATCGACAGGTGAATGCAATTAACAACCCAGTTGGATGCAGTACCAGCAGGCCTCAGTGCCAGAGAAGATTTTGAGGAGCGCCGGGATACCCAGCGGCATAGCTGGAAGCCTGTCTGATAGCTCAGCTTCACTGACAGGTTACAACAGCCAAACTGCAGAGAGATGTGACTACACAGAGACGAGGCTTATTTCAAGGTGAGAAGAAGAGTGATGTGCTGTGTGGAAATAGAATAAAGAAAGAGAAAATGAGCAGTAAATCATCTAAAGCTTTACTTTTTATGTTTCCTGCTCTAATCACAGCTTGAAGATTAATTTAGTCATCACACAGGAGTACTTCTCAACTTGTGAAAACAGGCTGTGGTAGTCACTCATGTATGTACACAACTTTTTGAAGGCAAAATTATTATTCAGACAGAGTAGACATGCTGTGTGTTTCACATGCTTCTCAGCAAAGCTATATTCTGCATCCTCCTATAATGAAGACATTTTTAATAGTTACAGCATAGGTCTGCACGTTTCAAGCCTGTCTTAGTCTTAAAACTGTATTTAGAGGCACACATTTATACCTTATGCCATGATAATTAATAAAGTAATCAGTTCTTAAAGTACTTTCAAAGTGACTGGGAACCAATCTACAGTGCCCACTCCAGTGGTGTAGTGGAGTCGCTAAACCTCAAGTCTGAGTCACCAAAAAACAGTGCGAGTTGAATCTGAGTCAAGTCTGAGGCATCAAGGTCTAAACAACTGACACAGCTCTCCCCATTTTAAACGGAGTTCACTTACTGTGTGACACAATAGCCAAACAGATGCACTCATAAGCACACACACTACTTAGAAGTGAATAGTGGGAATGTTTGTCAGCATCTTATGCCAAATTATTATGGCCGATTACAAATAAATAAAGGCTGTGTGCTTATCTCCAACTTTTGAGTCCTAATGCAGTCAATGTCGAAGTTAAGTCACGAGTCCTGAAAATCACTACTGGAGTCTAACTCCAGTCCAGCTCCTGGACTCGAGTACAACACTGCCTCATTCTGTGCAAAAATATATTCCAAAGTGTGGCTGAAGTTGGACTTCAGTAGTCTGAGTTAGGCAAATCAGGTCAGTCTTTTTGTTCCTCTGACTCATATCAGCACAGAAACACCACCTGGGGAAGCAAAACCAGGGGATTTGGAATAGTACCCACTTTATTTGTGTAACTTGGGCTGAGTTGCTATAATAATGAAAACCACCAACTACACGGAAGCTTTTAAAGTGAAAATGTATCTTTTTATTGGTACCATACATTAATTATCAAGGGCAGAAACTAACCAAATCAAAAAAATATATATATCAAACAATGATTTCTCCTACAGGTCTGGAACAGGTACAAGTCACCATCTGAACTCAATCATAACTGCTGCCTGAATCAACTGTAACAAAATGAGAATGTACAAAACAATAACACAGCTCCAGCTGTTTTAATCAGATTTTACAGACTCAGCAACATGTCGACAAAACTCAAGTGTTAAGCTGGTTTCGGAAGATGTTTATGATTGATGGTATCACTGTTGGTTATAAAGGAGACGACACAAATCAACAATTTTAAAAAAAGCCAGTGAATAAACATGAGAATCATCAAAATCAACACATTCATTTGACATCAATTTGATAGTTGCAGTACACAGAACTGTGATCAATGTTAAGTGACACTTGATTCCTGTATAGATGAAATGCATGAATAAACTTCTGCCAAAATAAATTACAAAAAAAAACAAAAAATCATCTCTCCGTGGTGCCATTGTACCCCTGGGGATTTGTAATTTAATTTACACAAGTTTTAAAAAAGAGAGGAGGAAAGAGCAGGTGGGAAGAAACAGGGGACAAGCTTATGAGTGTTTTTTCTCCTTTTTCCTATTTTTGTTTCTTTACATTAGATCAGGATGGCTTTAGGTAAATCCAAGTAAGAATACATTTTATTACAGTCAGACAGAACTTTGCTACTACCTTAAATATACAAGCACAAATACACAAAAATCAAATCTCCAAAAAAGGAACCAAAAGACGAAATAAAAACATCCACACTAAATTATTTCTCTTTTATAAACATAAAAGATAAAATCAATATATTTTAGAGGGGGAAGGGATAAAAGTCCTGTGTTGCTCCTTGGTCTGTAGCTTTTCAGTATTGGTAGAAAATAAAAAAGTAACAATTGAAATGAAGGCGTTTAATACAAATTAAAAAACATTCTAGGGAAATATATACTGTATAAAAACTCTTAAAATGTGTAACTGTGTGTGTGTGTTGTAAATGCTCTCTGTATGAAAGACTGCATTCATTGTAGTCTAATCAGAGATCACTTGGGCGCTAGGAGACCCAAAAATCCTTCAATTATTATGTTTATTTGTGTGTGTGTGTGTGTATGTGTGTGTGTGTGTGTAAGTGCGTCTATGTGATGACAGCTCTCCTACTAGTGTGAGACTTTCAATGGTTTTATAGACTGATTCTAAATTCTGGTCTGTCTGCTTTAGCAAAACCACAAATATGCTCCGACAGTCTCTTTTCTCTGTTCGCAAACTTCACTCGCACACACGCACTCGTGCACACATACACTCTAATAACAAACACCAGGAGTGACTTTCGCAGCAGCTGGAGCAGACCACAATTGAGAACCATGTTCAGAGGACGGATGCACAAGTCGTTCCTAAGCAACTTGCCACCGTTGTGAAGCCCTGCTGCCACCGCCCCCTCCACCCCACCCCTTCCTACATGTGAAGTTCTGTATGGATGGTTTAGTGCGCACAGTTCCCTACTGGATTAAATTTCTGTGCCTGCTTTGTCACACCTACCCAGGCACGGTCCAAACTGAAAATACTAAGAGCAGATGTGACATTTTGTATATGAGATGAGGAAACAGGAACAGAGGCAGGACACACTGGCTAATATTGAAAGCTTGTCAAACTTCCTCTGACTCAGGGAAACTGTCCAAGAGGACAGACTGAGCTCCTTGGGCTACCTGTGTGTGTTTAGTCTGAGCTCTACAGCCATGTCTGGGTGGAGTGTTGCTGTTGCACTCATGGGGTGGGGTAGGGTGGCTGATGAGTGACACAGAGGGGTTTGTATTGAGGTTGTGGGGCTCTGAGCTCTACTGCGATGCCTGTGAGGTTGGGTTGTCACTCTTGCTCTCCTGGCTGGAGGGTGCCTTGTTGTTCCAGGGCGAGTTAGACCCCAGTGCTGGAGAGTTGTTGAAGCTGTCTTCGTCATCAATGCCATTGGCTGCATCAAACTGCGTGTTCTCCAGCCGTGTGATCAGACGCTCGTCCTCATCACCGAACTCCCCGCCCATCAGTGTGGGCTCTCCCACCACCATCACATCCTGCAGAGACACAAAATATTAGTGATGAGGTATGGGTCAATTGATCTCGTCTTGTGTACACTGTAAAAAAAAGTCTAACTTTGCCTTAAACCTCCAGGGTTACTGTCATAAGCCCATCACCACCATGAAGCCCATTGACACAGTCATATTTCCGTGTTTCTGCTGATGATTAAATAATAGTTCACGTTAGTATACTCACTAAAATACTCAGTTGTATGGTTTAATGAAACTAAACAATCTTCCACCTTGTTTCGTCCTCTTCCATAGATCCTCTGTCCCAAACTAGCCCAGACATGATGAGGTCTTGTTACTAGACATGTACACACCTGTGGGGCATTTGGGCCTTGGCAGTGCTACTTTAGGTATATTTTACTCTGTGCTGGACTATAACCCTCATTTCCACTGGATGCCGCTGCACTGTGCCTGACATGGTTTTGATTTGTCCTCTGCAAACCAGAGAGCTGAATGAGGGACAGATCAGAGATGCAACACAGTTGGACCCAATGCAAATTAGAGCCAAGTCTCTTGATTCTATTTATTCTTCCAAACAACACAGAAATGATGTTTTTATTAGTGCTATTATAAACAACTTTGATAAAGATTTGGTTCAGACTTGTGGCTATGGCTCCATCATAACATAATACAACAGGCCTCATTTTCTCTATATTACGCCAACAAACCATGTTATACCATGTTTGGGCCTCAGACTAATTTTGAATTTGATTGTAAAAGTTACCTTTCAGAAAAGACTGGGGTTAAGAGTGTAGTCAAATGGGGGTGAAGAACAAAGTTTTTAAAAGTTTTGCATATGTTCTTTTTTAGCTTTCACACAAAAATTTGTAGTTTCTGGTAAAGATGCATTGATCGATCAGCTGGAGATTGGAACTGGCCAGTTTTCAGTTTGACTGGCCATGACCAGCAACCCTTCGATCAGTCTGAAATATCCAATTCTTTGCTGAACAGATGGTTCGCGTCACACACACAGTGGCACACAGATGATAACATCACAGCCACACACAAACCCGCATTCACAATGTCATCAGTGTGGAAGTTCTTCACTGTGAGTGAAGATGACACAAAGTTTGCAATTTGTAATACATGTATGGTCAAAATAAGTCATGGAGGAACAACCACAAAAACATTTGGAGGACTGCATATGCCATCACCTTTATGTGGCCAAGTATGTTACACACAAGGAATTTGTTTCCAGTACAGAACCGAGGCAGCCATTTGCGACGCCAACTAACACCAATGGCTCTAACCATCGGAGACAACTTGGGGGTTCAGTGTCTTGCCCAAGGACACTTCAATGTGTGGACTGCAGGCACTGAGATTCAAACTTCTGACCCTCCGGTTGGGAGACAACTACTCTACCCACTGAACCACAGTCACCACCTAGCATCTTGCATGCACCTTGCACAAGGTTCAAACATGTGTGTATACCAGGAGCTTGGTGTACAAAAATCACTACAGAGGAGCCTATAGAAACACCTAAGAGAAGGGAAAACTACAGTCCAAAGCTTTATTACTGGCTATATGTACAGTGTATCCAACTCACGGTAAAACACAGCAAATAAAAACTACACAAACTTTAAGAAGAACTGGATGTTCAGTAGGACTGATTTAATGGACATTCTGCTGTTTCTATTACCTGTTGCACCTGTTTACATTTGGAAAGGCATGAATATTGCACTATTTTTAGTTGGTTTGTTTAAAAAAAAAGTTTGTAAAGGCTTGTTTTGACCTGGAGCACTTTTTTAATTTTGAGATTTGTTTGAGTAAGAAAAAGAGGGTTTTTGTTTTTTTTTTTGTTTTGTTTTTTTAAAGTTTAATTTTTATTACAATTACATTTTTCATTAAAGAAATGTATGTGTATACCGATTGCTAGCTTCTGTTAAATACAATATATCCAGTGAAACTGAAATTTTCCTGAGGGGCATACATGTTACTGGCACCTCATGTACACAGCCCTACATGACATACTGTGCCATCAAGTACTAAAACAACAACTCTGGTGGAGAACTGCGCTTTGAGTGCATCACAGTTTCAGCCCAGCATAAGAGGTCAACTCTGTTGTAACATGAAATGTATTTGTTGAAGTGTAATAGCAGATTAATGACACTAGATGGCACTGATGTACTCACTGGAACTTGGCTGGACAGAGGGAAGCCGCTGCCAGGGCTCTTCTTTTTGTTGTTGTTGTTATTATTGGTTCCTCCTCCTCCGCTGATGGTGCTGCCGCCTGACATTTTACGCTTCCGCCGCTTGTTAGGGGCCTGTCTCGATGGCTCAGCTACAGAAAGTTACAAATGCATTTGTGTGTTTAAGTGGTTGGTTATGTGTGTGCCTACTGCTGTGCATGTTGATGACCTACCTGGCGGTGCCACCATCCTCTGCCATTTCTGGAAGAGGCAGGTCTTGAGACAGTCTCTGGGACTGAGGCTATAAGTCTTATGTCTGGACATCAGCTCCTGCATGGGCTCCAGAATCACACACAGCTAGAGGAGGGAACAGAGACAAACAACAGGTTAGCAGCTGCACATTGTTTAACATCATTAGACATTGACAGAGCACCATGAATATCAGCTAGTGTTCCGCACACACGACAGCACTGGTGGACATAAACTTCTCAGATTATAACAAGTCAATTAAAAATGTGGAACAAACTAACACGATTCAGTGTTTTGATGAGAAGCGACATTACATGGACTCCCGTCTCCACCACAGAGACATCTGTAGAAGTTTATGTTCCTATCAGCCCATTTCCATGGACCTGAGGTGCTGATGCTCCTTGCATTAGAACCATGTAGGACTCCAGATGCAGAGAGGCAGGCAGCATTTCTGGACTGCTAGTATCTAGTGAGCACTGAGGTCTGTGTTACCATACTACCAGAATATTTAAAAACATTGTTGTACAAGAGATGCAGGGTTGTTTTCTGGCTGCATCAGCCTTCAAAATTTCACAGTGTGAGACACCATGTCAGAATCACATTCTGAGCAGCAGCTTCTGCAGCCAGATTCTGAAGAGCAAGCATATATACCTAACAAGCTGTATATGTATGATTATGAGATATAAGGCATGTGCCACTATTGGTCCAAAACTTGCTATTCAATTTAAATAAATAAAAAGGGTCCATAATTTGGATGCAGCCGTCCCTGGTAGGCTAGTGGTTGAGGCGCAGCGCTCTCGCTACTGCCACCCGGGTTCGAATCATGGTTGCGTCAGGAAGGGCATCCGGGGTAAAACACATGACAAATGTCAACATGAAAGTCGTCAGTGTGACGATTCGCTGTGGCGACCCCTAAACGGGAAAAGCCAAAAGTGACTTTCTTTCATAATTTGGATGCACTTTGGGCTGATAACATTTATAAAGCAAACCAACTTGCACAGACTTGACATGTACTCAAAATAGATAATCAGTCCCAGTGAACAACTCATTTTATGAGCTTTTGAAACCAGAAACTGTTTTGAAGACATACCTCTGATCTCCAACTAAAGCATATTTATCAGTCTTAAGACCTACATATGCTTGGATAGCGTAGATGCCTGTGTACATATTCAACTTCACCAAACTGACAAGTCTGTAATAAACATGTTAATTACATCGAGTGCTGTAAGCATAACATATTTTTGTAGGCCAATCCAGGTGTTAGCATCACCCTGGTTCCCCTGACAAAACCTGTCTGTGGGTTGCACAAAGAGCACAGCAGCCTGTGTTCTCTTTCCTTCACAGAGAACTTGAAGTAGCAGTTAAAAATAAATGCTTTAAGTCTGTAGTAAAACCGAAAAGTAGCTAGCTAGCTACTTCACAAGACTATGAAAGTCAATATGCTAACAGTAGCTGTATCATTCATCCATCCATCCATTCATCCATCTTCATCCGCTTCATTTGAGACCCGGTCGCGGGGGCAGTAGCCCGAGCAGAGCCTCCCAGACTTCCCTCTCCCCACACACCTCCTCTAGCTCCTCAGGAGGAACCCCAAGGCCTTCCCAGGCCAGCCGGGAGACATAGTCTCTCCAACGTGTCCTGGGTCTGCCCCGAGGCCTTCTCCCGGCGGGACATGCCCAGAATACCTCCCGCCAAGCGTGGAGGGCCAGCGGCTTTATTCTGAGCTTCTCACGGGTGACTGAGCTCCTCACCCTATCCCTAAAGGTGTACCCAGCCACTCCCTGGAGGAAACTCATTTCTGCCGCTTGTATCCGCAATCTCATTTTTTCGATCATGATCCAGAGTTCATGGCCATAGGTGAGGTATGAACGTAGATCGACTAGTAAATTGAGAGCTTCGTCTTACGACTCAGCTCCTTCTTCACCACAACGAACTGGTACAGAGACAG